AACTATAATTATATATACATATAACCTCGGGACATGGAGTAGAGTGTGGGAACGGATTCAATGGAATTGTAATAGATAAGCATGATACCGGGGGTGGGAGGGCAGTGGTTGGGGGGAGGGGGGTTGTTATTTTGTGAGGGTGAAAAGGGTAACTATTGCATTGTTCTGTACACCTGAAACTAACAATAAAAAAAAATAATAAAAAAAAAGCTGAATTTACCCAGACCCACAGATAATATTGAGAAGCTGGGGGGGGGGGTGCTTGTTTTTGTTGTTTCCCTTGGATGTTTATTTCCCTGTACCTCAGTTATTTCCTTCAATAGAGTCCTGAAACAGACTCACCTCTGGCATGTGACACATGGATATGTAAAGGCTGACCACGTATATTCTTGTCAAGCACCTCCATGTATGAATCTAAAACTTAGTACCTGAAGCCAGAAAACATCAGTCAATTGGTATTTAATAAAATGATGGTTGTTCAGAATGGTAAAATGGATCCTATTGAAACACCAAAGGTCTGTTTTTGTATTTTCTAAAGAAAAATTACTCTTAATAGGATTACTTCTATAAAATATAATTTGATTTCTATAAAATATAGAAGGGCCTCACGGATTCTCCCTTTCAGAAGTAGCATCAAATCAATCATTTGAGTTCCAGACTATGATGCGATCCATTAAATGACATTAATGCTGTCAGGTTCCAAAATAAAAATTCATATTTTAACCCAATGAAATTGTATATAAACCACTATTTCAATATTTTATTATAAATCTAAATGTACAACCATAATGGCCAATTTATATTAATGATGGTAATAACATCATTAGCGGAACTCTGAGGCAGACTTTTATCATTAAGTTGCAAAGACTATTTAACATAGAAAATGTTTGTATGTTAAAAAGACCACAGATGCAAATTACATATTCTGTGATTACAGCTATGTGGTTTAAAAAACCTGGAAGAAAATATACCAAAATGGCAATGGCCATTGCATTCAGATGATAGAATTATGGATTCTATCTATAGATTTTCTTCTGTATTTTACAGTTTTTAAAAATTATGATGAAAGCAGTCATTGGAATGTAAATAAAGTACAGCATAGGGAATACTGTCAATAACTATGTATGGTGTCAGATGGGTACTACTAGATTTATCAGGGTGATAACTTCATGAGTTACATAAATGTATAATCACTATGCTGTACACCTGAAACTAATATAATATTGTATGTCAACTGTAATTGAAAAATTAAAAAATTACTTAAAAAATTATGATTCCCTTTATAATGGAAAAATATATATTTAAAACAAACTATACTGTTTAGCTGGCATACTAATATTCACAACCATGTGGTACTGGCCAAAAATAAGTTTTTCAGAAGAAATTAAAATATTGTATCTAATCATTCTGAGAAAGATTTAGATAATATTTCAAATTCTACATTATGCATTTTTTTAAACTTCCATACCAGAGAGTAGAAAAACAAATTAGAAGAGGAACAGAAGTAACTAGGAATACTTCAAAAAATTGTGTCATTGAATCTTTAGGATCTTATGTCGCTAAATAACAAAATAACAGAAACTGGTCAAGATCACAGAAACCATTTGCACAAACAAGTAGCATCTCTCCAAAGCTGTAGAGAGGCAGTGTCCTCTCTCTTCTTGAAATTCTCCAGGGAAGATGATGACTCAGCCTCCTCCAGCAATCCTTGGGAAAATGTTCAAAACTTCTTTCAGGAAAAAGAAAGCTTCTCTTTACAAAAGTTCAACAAGTTGTAGTTGAAAAGGGCTATGGACTCTCATTTACCTTAGTTCAAATTCAAACTCAAATTCCTCATCTATAAAATGTAGTTATTATCACCTACACTTTTAGATCATGATCAGAATTCACTGTTATGGGTAAAGCCCCTGAAATAATAGACAAAAAAAATATCATTTCCTTAGTTCTATCTTCCCTCTTCCTTTAGTGTTTCTCAAAGTGTAGCATACCACCACTGCATCAGAATCACTGGGCACTTGTCACAAAGGTTGATTCCACAATTCCTAGGAGGTACAGCCCCTAATTATGCATCTTTATCAAATATTCCAAGTGATCCTTAGACACTCTAAAGCTTAAAGACCATTAAAATGAAGCTCTTAATCTTAATATATTTAACTACTTTGTCCTGTTCAGACTCAGAAAACAATTAAAAATCTTCTTAAGGTATTTCTTTCTCAGTCTGACTTATTTCATTTAGCATATTTCAACTACTATATATATACATATATATATGTATATATATATGTATATATATATATATATACAGTAAAACCTTGCATTGCAAGTAACTTGTTCTGCGAGGGTTCTGCAAGACGAGCAAACATTTCTAATAAATTTTAACTTGATAAATGAGCGATGTCTTGCAGTATGAGTAATACGTGACGCCAAATGTCATGTGATCACAACTGAGCCAATGGTTCTTCTCCCCCCCCCCCCCCCCCGGGATTGTGGGTGATCATCTCCCATGCTCGGAGGTTATGCAGGAGATATCCTCTGCAGAGAAGAGGAGAAAAAGGCAGAGGAATCCCTCACTTCAAATGAGATTAGGGAGATGTGTAAAATGTGGGAAACAGTGCAAAATTCTGTAGAAAAGTACCACCTGAATAAGGCTGCAGCAAGCAGTCCGAGCAATGAATCTGTTTAACGACAATGCAATGTCACATTCTGCGAAATCCTCAAGAGGAGGCAAAAGCAAGTGTCATTGGATAGTTTCCTTGTTAAAGTTGCACGAAAAGAAAAAGATTCCATTGAGCCAATAGAGAGCAGTGATTCCGTTAGTGATAGTGAAAGTTGTCCTACGCAATAACCCTCCTCTCTCTCTCGTCTCCCTCACACCAGCCACGAAGGTTTCCAAAGGTAAGTGCAGGTTAATTTGTTTATTTTTCTTTATATTGTATATTTCCTTTGTTATTTTGTATTATATTACAGTATTGTAATCATTTTTATATGAATGTTTTTGGGTTGTGGAACGAATCATCTGAGTTTCAATTATTTCTTATGGGGAAATTCGCTTTGATATACAAAGCGCTTTTTGGATTACAAACATGTTAACATGTTTCCGGAATGAATTATGCTCACAAACCAAGGAGAGAGAGAGAGAGAGAGAGAGAGAGAGAGAGAGAGAGAGGGAGAGACAGAGAGAGAGACAGAGAGAGAGACAGATAGATATTCATGGAATGTAAATACAGCATAAGGAAGATAGTCAATGGTATTGTAACAGTTATATAAGATGTCAGAGGTAGCGGCTTGGGGGAGGAGGGTTATCACTTTGTGAAGGGTGTAAATGTCTATTATGTTGCTTTGTATACCTGAAATTAATAAAATCAATCAATCAATCTTTTTTCCCAATAGATATATATTGTGTAAACTTGAAGGTGGCACTTATGGCTAGAAAAAGATCTTACACTCTCTATTTTAAGTTAAAAAGAAACAAATTATTTGACCCACTATTCTAAGAGTATGTACCTTATCCCCAAATCAAGAAATACCTGTTATAGATTTCAATATCTAACTTTAATTTCTAATTAGATTTTAATTTCTAATTTTGGTATGCAATTCAAAATAACCACCAAAAAAGAAACACTTGAAATAGATGGAAATAATTTCCGCAACTTTATAATAAATAACATTCTTTACATAAAATTCAATTCTCAAAACCCTCAAACTTCAAAACCCAAAAATAAATTTCCGCTTACAGATTTCACCCTTCTAGTTCCAAAAGTGTTTATTTTAAAATAAGTATTCATCATGTAAAATTTAGCTGAATCAAGTAACCACCCAATGCAAATATCAATAGAACATGGAGATTTTATACATACTGCTTTTCATATCTCCCTTTTACTTCTTTTCTAAATAAAAGCAGAACACTATAAATATTCTCACTAGAAATTCAGACCAAGGACACTGGTCTTTCTGAGTAATTCACAAAAAGTGGATCATCAAGAGAAACTCCTGAGACACGGCAGTCTTCAATGTGTTACAGGAGCCACGGACAATACGCCTCCTTGGTTCACCTTGCTGAAGATGGACCAACTGTACTATTGGTGCAGATGTGCTCAATTTCCTTTGCCAGATAAGCTACAGACACTCTACTGCGAGCCAAACTTGTCCCTCCCGTTTAGGTCAGATCATTTTTCACACTTTTTAGTATAGTAATCTCATCTCCCAAGAGAAGCTAGTTCAAACACACTCATTAGCATCTTTGGTTACAAGGGCAATACAGTGTGTGGATGCTGTTAATAATTGTTCTCCCGTGGCGAAGTCACGATTGGAAAACATTCTATAGGTAAATATAATGTAATTTGCATTTTCTAAGATCCTTACAAGTCATTGTATAAAGTCCAGCTCTTCTTGAAATTTTTTACATATCACTGGGAACCACCTCTCCATAGGGCCACCCATAAACTCTGTAATGCAGGTGATGGAGAAAGTCACTGAAGGTGATTCCTCCAGTCCCCTCCAGGGCAGGCTAGGTCTCCAAGGGGCACACAAAGGACAAGAACATGTCTAGTTGGTTCTTCACAATAACTTCATCCGGGTGTAGCTTATGGGGTAGATAATGGGCCAGAGTCATCTCCCAGGCATCAACGAGGTAGACTCCAACCCCTGAGAACATCTTCCGAAGGATGGAATCCAGCTGAAAGTTGTACCAGTCACTGTTGAAAAGGCTCACCTCAGGCCCCAGCTCTTGGGCATTTGCTGTCCGGATGACTATCACAGTCTTAGGGCTTCGATCCAGGAGCTGGACCACTGCTCTACGGATGTTCCTGAGCCGTCGGATATACACTTCCAAGGGGAAGGTGCTGAAGTGAGACCACACAGCTATTGCAACCACGGTGTTCTTCCCTCCCACGATGCCATTCAGCTCATTCGCCACATAATGGAGCTCATTGCTAAAGACGGTGGTAAAGCGGATAGGTGGGCCATGGCAGCGGTATTTGAGGAGGATGTTGTGCTTCTGGTCCACTGCAAGGAAGGGACCCACATTCTTGGGACTACCCAAGTTAAACTCCACTAGATCTGAAATAAGGAAAACTCAAATTCATAAAAATGTTCAAACCAAGCAAATACAGTTTCTTTATTCTTTACTTAGTGGATTCAAAGAACAGGTTTTAGAATAAAAGCACGACAAACAGGTACAATGCAAATATGAAGGAATAGCTAGTTCGCTGCACCTTGGCCTCCTTTACCTCAACGAATCTGTATTCTAAGTTATTATTTAAATCACTCCATAAACATGACATTACAAGTAATAATATCAGTGATAGATTCTATACCTATGTCCATACCTCAGAAGCAAAATAACCTGTTTACCGCTATTAAGTCAAGAAATCTTCTTTTCACTGATTGTTGAATAACTAAAAATCAACTTGGCATTTACACATTACTGTTCTAACAGATAATATTCTTTCTTCCAGGACAAAGGCTATAACTTCTGCTTCTTTATGAACACATAATAGTAACCAAATACTTCTTTTTGCTATAAGGGAAAGAAAGGAGCAGCTGTTTATTTCAAATTCACCCTATGGATGAAAAATCATGTTAATATCTTAGAGAACGTCTATCTCTGTCATAAGAATAAAAAAGACAGCAGCACAGTTAGAATTCCCTTCTTCCTCCCACTTTATTGTGTTTCAAAGTCCAGCTCCTCTGAGATCTTCTGAAGATACCAGGAATCACTGATGCCTTGTTACTCCTAAAAAAATTTTGTATAATTCATCACTTAACATATGCCCCATGAGGAAAGAGGTCTGTCCCATATCCCTAAATATTCCTATAAATGCTTTACAGAAAACAGACTAAGTAACTTTGGGCAACCCGACTCAAATAAGATTCCCTAAGCACCTACTCAGTGCTGTAAGTCAGTCGTGCTCAGGTGGAGAATTCAGTCCTTGCCCTCACGGAGTTTTTAGTCAATTCTAAAGAAGTAACATCAAACTGTATGTCCTATATTTCTCTTGAGGGTTAAAGTAAAGGTTTCAGGTTTTTCCCGTGCAGTCCCAGGCTCCTCTTCTAGATTTGCCTATCTAATTCATTACTACTTAGCATGTAGTCCCACTTAAATTTTAAGACTAAAAGCTCAATCTACCATTCTTTCTTTTGATTAAGATCAAGCACTGACACAAAGCTTTATCAGGTGAAAATCTCTGCAAAGGGTATGGTGGAAAACGATCAAGACTATGTGATCACTACTATGAAAGGAAATACTGAGCTACATCATTAGAACTTTAGAACCAAGCAACTCCGGTAGGGCTCTGCCTGGTCAGCATCAAACCATGCCTAGCATCATGCCACACAAATTATTTCCTTTCTCTTGATTTTTACTTTATGCTTTATTGACTAGAACTCAGCTATGTCTGTCTCAATAGAAAACAAGCAAAACAAAAACTGGAATTAACTTTTCACTTTTTGAGGTTATATCTTCTTTCCTCCTAAAAATTAAATGTGAAATGAAGTTGATATAACAAATAAAAGAGAAAAAAGAAAAACATCACAAACAACAATTCACAAGAAACCATGGAAATTTACTTTATAAAAATCCCTGCCCATATACAGCCATCAAAAACAGATCCCACGGGGGCCGGCCGAGTGGCACGGTGGTTAAGAACTGGCTTGGGACGCCAGAGGGCCCGGCTCGGATCCCACATATGAGGGCCAGTGACACTGCCCTCTACAGCTAAGATGCTGAACAACAGCTCAACCTGGAGGACAGCAACTTGTCTGTTTCCCTTCCCCCAATTCCCCAGCGCTGTTCCCATCCCCCAATTCCCCAATAAAAAAATCTTTAAAAAAACAAAAAAACAGTTTCCACGGAACTATTTATCAGCTCTCTAAATTGTAAGCAGAGTTTTTTAGTCTTCTTGCCTGGGATCCATCCTTCCTCACCCCATCCACACCCCTTCCAGGAAGAGGAAAAGGCCCATTGTAAATAAGGGATGGTCCTCCACTGAGTGGAGTTTATTCCGAGTCTGGAGAGTAGCCCTGGAGACCAGCAGTGAAACCAGGAAGCTAAGATTGCTGGGACTTACCCAGACTCCCTCAGTAGGAGCAGCTCCATCTCTGAGTCACCCAATGGAATGCCCAATGGATGACACGAGGATGGCTTTCCTGCATGAATACGTTACAATGGACCAGTCAGTTGGGCTGCTTCCTTCCAGTTAAATCTATTATCAACTTGGATTTGGACTGAACAGAACTAAGAGAGGAGCAACTAGAAATATCCACCTCTAGAATATTAGAAGTGAGGTGATATTGTCCAGCTGCTTCATCTCGCATGGAGAAACGAAGCCCCTTTGAGAAGCAAATGATTTGTCCAAGGTCACATAGCTAATCAGTGGTATGAACTTCATACAGTAAGAACCCAGTCTTCCATCAATACATCACAACCCCACCATGGAGCAGAAACTATCACACATCTCTCCAGGGGTAGGATACCTCTTTAGTCCTACAGAAAAATAATTGCTTTTTCATTTGATACTTTCTTCAGGCACCTGAGTGAGTCTGCTTATTTCAAAGATGATTTCATGCATGTGGAAAAGAGTTATGCAACAAAACGCAAAGTACCAACCTGGAACAAATGTAGTTAGGTATTCAAACCATTGCCTGATTGTTGAGTCACCAAATAAATACACTAGTTTTCTTTGTAAGCAGTCTGTAATGTTGTCAGGATCATTAAACTGGCGCATCTTAAGCTTTCTAGGCCTCCACTGATCTTTGTAATAATACCCGGAAGGAAAAGTTCCTGAGTTTTGAGATAGCTCACGGCTGTTAGTTTCTGAAAAGAAGAAGGAAAAAAAATATGAGATGTTCTGAAATTCTCCTCCAACAAACCATACATGAAAAAATGTTCCAAGAAACACAATTATGACCCTATATTTGTTAACCTCAAGGCATATGGGTAACATTTCCTGCCGTCACATCTCAAAGAAATCCCAGACTTCCCCCTTGTTACAAAAGGCACAAAAATGGGAAGATCTGAAACGGGTGTGAGGGTATTGGTGGACAGATGGGGAAAAAGGGACTTTGAACATTCCCTCTGATTATGCATGTTTTTACCAAAGCAAAAAACAAAGGCAGGCAAAAACCAAGGAAATGTGCAGATATAAGCATTGCCCAGCACTATCCCAGAATAGAAGAGTTTCTCATCCAAAAGCCTGTGAGGCAAGTAACAACTTAAATTCACATGTTACATATACATAGTAATAGTCCACTGTTTCTCAGTCCATCAAAAGGAAAGTTTTAACCCATGGGTCCTACAATCAAATATTAATTCAGAAAACCACCATTTAATTCAGAGAACAAACCAATGACATACAGTCAAAATCATTATTTCCCATAATATAAAAGGTTCAGAATGTCATTATGAACAGCGAACAATATTAAAAATACATCTGCCTTGGGTGGCCAGTTAGCTCAGTTGGCCAGTTAGCTCAGTTAGCTAGCTTAGCTCAGTTAAGAGCACAGTGCTCATAACACCAAGGTTGCCAGTTTGATCCCCACATGGGCCACTGAGCTGCGCCCTCCACAACTAGATTGAAACAACTACTTCACTTGGGGCTGATGGGTTCTGGAAAAACACACTGTTCCCCAATTAAAAAAAAAAAATACATCTGCCATCTGTATTCATGGTTACAGCCTAGCTACACATGATAACACAGTGCCAGGACCCCTTTCAGAGGACTAATCAAAATCCTTCTGCCCTAACACCTCCCTTAGAAAATGCCACTGTGGAAACAACACACTTTACGTTTCAAAACAGACAGACAGGGATGGTTAATGCTTCTTGCAAGTATACTTTACACCAGACACTGTTGTGAGCAATTAAACATATTATCTCATATGGTGCTCACGGTAACCCTTCAAGGTATGTCCTATTATTATCCTTACCTTTTAGCACAGTTAAGCAATATGACCTAGGCCCCAGAGCTGGTAAGTAGCAAGCCAGGACCTGATCCTAGCAGGTAAGCTCCAAAACCCATGCTCTTAACCACTGTGCTATATTGCCTCTCAAATTTTTGGCTTTTTTCCTAATGGTATACCTTTACTTGTTTCTAACACTTATCAAATCCACAGTCTTCAGAAAACCACCAATCATTTTACATCACTTCCTTACACTCCCCAAGGTGCAAACCTTGATCACAACCCAGTAATTCTATAGTCTCACCTGTTAAACCACAATTCAAAATCTAAACATTTATATGACTTAGAAATTTAAATTTAAGTTGAGTCCCCTATTTGTGACTATTTTCACTTTAATTTGATTTCTTGATATTATCCATATTACTCAGAATATTACTTTGGTTTTATTCTCTTCAAGAAAAATGCCTTATTTTACAGATAGTGCATATTTAATCTTTTTCCTTATACATCTGCTAATTTTTTGCTGCTTCAGTGCCTCAGTTGAAAACTATTTTTTTTTATTGTTAGTTTCAGGTGTACAGAACAATGCAATAGTTATCCTTTTCACCCTTTGCACAGAAACCCCCCTCCCCCATCTACTGCCCTCCCACCCCCTATATCATGCTTATCTATTACAATTCCATTGACTCCATTCCCACAGTCTACTCCACGTCCCGTGACTATATGTATATATAATTATAGCTGACATACAATATTATTCAACATCAGCTTCAGAAATACAGTGCGGTGGTCAGGCCTCTACACCGACTATAAAGTGGTCTCCCTAACAAGACATGAGTCCATCTGGCCCCTTAAAAAATATTTACAACATTACTGATTATATTCCCCAGACTGTCTTTTCTATCCCTGTGGCCATATTGTAGTTACCAATTTGTATTGTCTCAATCCCTTCCCCTTCTCCTTCATCCCCACCCCCTCCCAACTAGCAACCCTCAGGTTTTCCTCTATGTCTCTGAGACTATTTCAAAAGTAAACAGTATTTATAAAAGTTTTATTTGGCAAATGTGATAATCAAAGAAAAATGGGAGGTGGGATACATTTTTTTTGTTGTTACCAGAATTGAGGGGATCAAAACTGCTAATGTGCTGGAGATGTTTGTGAATCATGTGATGTGGAAGTTTATGTATCAGAGTTGAGTTCTTATTCAGAACAATCCAGTTCAACACAGACAATGGAAGAAAGGGTGGCTAGGGGAGAGTGACCAGATACACCTTGGACTGGACTCCATCCAGATAGCTATAATTTATTTCCTAACCCATTCGTTGCCCTAAGATTCTTCAAACTGTGGGATTCTGAATGAAAGATGAAGTATGACAATTGCCACACCTTGGTAGGTGCTTAAATATTTATTGAATGAATGAAAGGATGGATGGATGAATGAGGAGAATGAAGGAATAAAGACAAATCAGGCTGCTGGCTAAAGAAGAAACACCCCTTCACTTTCTTCATTTCAAATGTTTATTTGGCTTATTTGAAAACAATTTCTCAACATGTACTAAGTGTGACTTTCCCATGTTAGCATACATTGCCCAAAGCTCCCTCAATTATATCAGCATGTCATGGTTGCACAGGCCAGAGAGATCCAGAGCAGACACCGGGGGCCCAAAGAAAACATTTACTACGATGGGAATTGTAAGTGATTTTGAAGCTACAATTTTTACCAGGGTTAATTCAGTAGACTCGACTATTCTGTGTCAAATACATGCTATAAAGAAAAGCATGTATCACACAGGAGCCAATTACCATTTCTATTCAAATGTTAATTATATTTACTACCAGAGTTAAGTCAAGCAAAGCAAATCAATTACTGAACCTGACATTAATTCTTTAAACAAGTAGCACTAAATAAAAGAACATATTTTTAAAGTGAAATGCATGTACCTACATTGCCCTCTTCCGGTCAGCTGGAACAAAAACATTTCCTGACTAATAGGATTTTAAGCAATCTGAAGTTGTTTAAAGTCAGTGTTTCTTGGAACTCAAAACACATTTTCATGTAAGATAACTGAGATAAGAAAGCCTCTTCAAATAATAATATAACCCCTAATGTACTATACATGTGGAATAATAGTAATTTTTTTAAAATGAGTTACTACTCAATTTTACGGTTATCGTGAATGTAGGTGGTGAAGAAAGAAGTTTACACAGGGGTGGTTATAAAGGCAGATATAAATATCTTCATGCAAAATCAGAAGAGACAGTTTTGATTATTTGCAAGTAGGTCCCTGCTTCTCTAAAATGTCTTGGCTTCTTTTAAAGGCCATGGCTTACATTTCCCTCCAAAAGGCATCATCCCATGTCACTCATTAGCCATAATGAGGATCATCTGGGCCACAAATGGCACAAAATGAGAAAGAAAAAAGCGAAGAGAGAAATTTCCCTAGGTTATTCTAGAAAGAGCTGGAGAGGGATATAGTGTAAATTCAGGGTGGGGTATATGTTTGTGCATATGTGCTCACACATGTCCTTAATTTTATGGCATGGAATTATTCATAGAAATAAGAGCAGTAAAAGGCAGACCAAAGGGGAGTGCATGGTTCATGACAGGAAAGAAAGACAAGAGAGAGAAGAAACAAAGTCAAACAATTCCTTGACCAGGGAACACGGTGAGCACAGGAACGCTTGGATGATATCTCAGAGATGCGGCATGAGGACAGGTATATGTCAAGCTGTTTAGGCACAGCTGGTCACGAGCTGGGGCGATGAGAAGAAGGTCCTAGCTACACAGTAGTTGTAATTGCATGAATTTGAGTTTACCCTTGAATTTCCCCTACAAAACCTTGGTAATTTGGTTTTTTCTTTTATGTTTTAGTCCCCTAAAAGCTAAGCACCTTACAGAGGAAAGCTAAAAATGCTGTATAGGTAGAAATACCTGCAGAGTCAGAGAATGTTGAAAGGGACCAAATATCTTTTAAAGGTGAAGAAAGCAAGTCACTTAGTGGCTTGCCAAAGTTTCTCAGAGAGTTGTAGCGACAGGTAGTGGTAGAGGTACTCTTTACAAAGACATACGTTATATCACTGATCCAGTCGTGGGTGTGTGCTTCCTTCCCCAGATGGCCCCAAATGGCGTAAGTTAGTTGGATTTTATGCGTAGAAGACGAGCCCTTTGATTTTCTAAGTTAACTGGACCTATACATTGGTTTCATTACCTATAAGTGGGTCAGTTTCTAGTTATTTTAAAGGGTTGTTGCAAAAATGTAATACTGTAATAGTGTGAAAGTATGTTTTTAATAGTAAAGGGCAACAATGGAATGCTGGAAATATTCTCTACGTTCTAAACATTCTATATCTTGACCTGGGTGGTAATTTATTAGTTTTCTATTGCTGTGTAACACATCGCCACAGATTCAGTGGCTTAAAAATAAGAGGCATTTATTACCCCCTGTTCTGTAGGTCGAGTCTGGGGCGTGCCACAGATGGGCTGTCTGGTTGGAATGGTCTCACAGGTTGAAATCAGGATGTCAGCTGGGCTATGTTCCTTTCTGAAGGCCCTGGACAAGAATCTGCTTCCAAGCTCATTCAAGTGGGCCAAATTCAGTTCCTTGTAGTTATAAGGAACTTAATTTCCTTCACTATCCTTGTGACTGAGTTTCTCATTTCCTGGATGGTTGTCAGCCAGGGGATGTCCTCAGTTCCTACAAGCTAGCTACAATCCTTGCTACACAGCCTCCTTCATCTTTAAAGCCAGCAACCAAGAGTCTCCCTCACATGAAATACTTCTCATATGGAATCCTTCTCACACTTTCAATCTCTTCCTTCAGGAAGAACCTGGTCCCTATTAAGGGCTGATCTGATTAGGTCAGACCTACTCAGGATAATTGCTCTTTTTTTCTTTTTTTATTGAGGAATTGGGAG